CCTTTTAACCTGTTGACTCTGACCATTTCATTCCTGTTTTACACTGTATTTATTGAGTGGGGGAAACTTCTTATAGGTAGCATTTTAGCTTCTGGGGGTAGGTTTCTTAAACCATTTTCATTGTTAAATTATACTTTGACTCAAATAAAGTTTATTTGTGTGAATAATTCCAACGTCTCTGTATTTGCGGACTTATCTGGGGGGGTAGCAGCTCAGTACTGGTGAAGTTTGCATGAAGTTGACCTCTGAAAACAGTAGGGGTGTTATTCCTGGGGAACTACTAAGAGTTATTACGGTCTGAGTTGCCTAGGCCTGTATATTGGCCCGGTCACATTTAGTTACTAGTTTCTTCTCAGACTGAGAATAATCAGAAGACCTTATTGGTCCCTGGTGGGAAAATCACAAGCTACCCAGCAGTATGTAAAGTACTTCAAAGTATAAGAATATAAGGTAGTTAACATTAGCGCTACCTTTACCAGCTGTAACATTAATTGTGATGTACACAATAATACACAAATAATTATAGTTCATTAATATGATGTACTACATTAACGTGAACTGTGCCATTCTGCATAATGATTACTTTTATTTTAGGTACTTTGAGTATACTTTATGCCAATACAGTTGTACTTTTACTTAAGTATTAATTTGAATGCAGGCCTTTTACTTGTAACAGAGTATTTTTACACTGTGGTATTGCTACTTTTACTTAAGTAAACAATCTGAGTACTTCCACCACTGCTAAATGATTGAAACAACTCATCTAAACCAAAATCTAATCAAAAGGAAAACAAACAGATAATTGACTTACTGATTTATCTCGACAATAAGCTATTCATAAGTTAGACACAGAACTGACTTTTGTGTACTTTTTAACTGGAAATAAGTCTGGAAACATCAAAATACCTTAACCAGGAGGACAAAGTAATCGCCTGCCAAGTCCCAGTTCCTTTGTCCCACAAGCTACAGCATTGGAACACTACTAAATCTTAGCATCCACTGGGATATTTGCATGCTAACTGCACAATAAATAACACAAAACTAACCCACCTATAAATAAGTCAGAACTTTAAATAACACAAGACTAACCCACCTATAAATAAGTCAGAACAACACTAGCACAACTCTGCAGTCCTGCAAGGTACACACACTGTAAAACATGCTACCTGAACATAATGTTGATCTTGACACACAGCTATTTTCAGTAGCCTTATTATAGCAATAACATATTCACTGCTGTGCTACTATCCAGTTGTTATTTTGGTCCGTATGCGATTACAGGGTGATCCAGGTCAGTCTGATAGGGCCCATTCAGGCCCACAGACTCCCCTCACTCCTTTCTTTTCGCTTCATCTTTTATGCTGTCAACACCTCCGTGTGCTCAATGGATGCCTCTCCTCTCTGCCCTTTCACTGTTTTATCAAATGACTCGCATCCCTAGGACTGAAACATCCCATACACTGTGTAGTAAAACAGTGGCCTGCAGAACACTTCAAAATGTTCTAACTTTTGACAGATTACCAGGCAAAGAAGAGCGAGAAACCTACACTATGGAATGTAGAAGCCACAAGCTTCAGGGTCTCAACTTGTCACCTCTGGGCTACAAGCTGTCCCAATGTTTTTGAAAAGGAGGTACCAATACAGAACACCCTTTTCCTATTCACTGTATACTAACATACCTGGGGCAGCAGAATGGAGACTGGCCACAAACAGGCCTAAAGAACAAGGTTCTTGTGGATTCTGCCCAGGCTGAATAAATTAGAGGAAACTCAGTGGTGGCGAGTGTAAACCTCTTGACTTATGGCTTTTCTACATGTGTATATACATTTTTACGCACGTAAACCATATTTCTCTTACAGTTAATATATTATACTGAGTAAAGTAATACTGTATGTGCCCTTAAATGTAAATACACCCACGGAAGGGGTGCAATACACAAAACCCCTATAACCACTATTGAGTGATGGAATGTCAGATTACAAGGTGATAATTTGGTGATTTTCCTAAGGAAACATAGATGAATAATCACTTCTGTTTAAGCAAAAATGTTAAATTGTGCTTGGAACCTGGTTTTTCTACACTACTGGTCAAGAGTTTGAGGTTGCCTCCATTTTTCCAGTAGTTATTAGTGTAATTCAGCAGCCCAACACACACATTATCCTGCTACAGGATGAAACCATGAAAAGCTCTGACTTCTTTTTTTAATTGCATTTTTCCAAATAATGCTTCAGAGGGTGTAGTAAGAGTCCGAAACTGCCTTTGTACAAATAGAGGACTTGTAGGAACTGCTTCAGAAAAGATGGAAGTTAATTTATTACTTGATCCCTGCAAAATGCCTGTTCCAAATGAAATCTACATACTGTACATGTTTAGTCTTAGGTGACTATTATTGACCGGACTTGAACTGATTAAATGTCATAATAAAAAAAATAAAAAAAAGACGCTCATCTCAAATCTTTTGCCAGTACACTCACAAAACTTGCAGATATATTGGTATCTGCAAAAACCTGTCCAAAAGCAACAAGGAATTGTGGGACAGAGATGCCAAAAATGCTTGAGGTAGTGTAGAAAGAGTGACACCATTAAATAAATAAGCTGTCTGTCAAACAGCCCTCACAAGATTATTTTTCAACCATAAAATCTGCTTGCTGTGTTATGCATTATGGTCTCAGTGCCTGAATAATAAAATGTAAGCATTTTTAAAATGTTTGCTTATGCTTTGTGCTCATATAAATTTGATTATCTGATTATTATTATTTTTTTTTTTACAACTCTCAAATCAAGAGTTTCACACAGGAGGCTTTTATTAGAAAACATTTGCACTGAACTACATTTCTGCCTGTATCATGTGCAAACCCTTTTCTACCTACATTAACAGACTGGTTGAATGTGGCCTTCTCTTGTCCTGGTTGTGGCAGGACAGGAGGAAATGCCTCAGTAGTTAAACAGAGGCGTGCCGTGATGTCGGGGGCTCCATCAGCTCGCACTACACGCCTGCCAGGCAGCATCCGCCTTCAGGAGGAGGATGAGAGGGGAGGATGGGACAAGGATTTTGCCACTACAGCATTATTTAGCCACAGGCCTGTAGTAATGTTTACTGAGGGGGTTGTGGCCGGAGAAGCCCGTGGCTCTATCTGTACTATCGTCAACACAAATATTTCAGTTTGCTGCCTAAACCGTGGCCGAAATCCTCTGCTAGTGACATTTCACGATGACCACGTTTACAAGCAACTTCAAAGTTTGCTTAGTAAAGCAGCAGCGAGACACAAAAACACAACAACGACACATATTTCGCTCGTATTGGAGAAATGTATCCTCCTCGGCTGTTGGCATACACCTGTTCCAGTAGGAGAAATAAATGGATAGCAAACAGCGTGTAAAGAAACGCGGCCAAGCGGCTGGACTCTCACCTTCAGTCCCACCGCAGCGGTCTACATCCCATGTCGGACAATCTTCTCACCGGGCAGGCTGAGAAAGAGCAGCGTGAACCGGAGTCGTTTCGAGTCCCTTTTCGTAAATTTAACTCAGTTGTGACAGACCGCACTCTTGTTTGTATCTGTGTTTTCCGACAGTTACACCACACGTTTGGCGGCTGCTGCTTCTCGAGCAAAAACCACACTTCCGGTTGGAATTTTCAAAGTAAACCCCCCCTTTTCGCAAAGAGGGCGCAGTTTTATTTTATAGAATTTATGTCGCTCTAATATGTAAGACAAACATTTTTTACTTCCTAAAATAATTTGATCATTTGCGTCTAACTTGACTTAGCACATCTAGACCAATCCCCCAAATTTCGCTGCTTCCGGAGTGTCAAGGTTTTTTCTGTCTCACTAACCGGGAATTTTAGATGGCATGTTGACAACACTGGGGAGACGTCTACTACACGTTAAAATAAAAATGTATATATAAAATGTGACCTTTTTCATCATAAGTGACGTTTTAAGGTCACGGAAAATGCTTGAAGGCAGTTGGTGCTTCATGAGGACCAGAGCATCTCGTCACACAGCTGCTATAAGACTTAACCTGTTTGGTTGAGGCAAGAAATAATTTCTCACCTCATTAAAATATTGCCGATCATTTGGCTTAAAGGTCTAAATAAATTCTAAAATGAATAGTCAATAAATGATTTAAAATATATATTCATTCAGTATATACTGTTCACTGGTGGTAGTACATTCAAATACTATAGTTTGGTGTGAGCATATTCCCATCCATAAAAGACTGACATTAAATTTTAAACTACTTTAACAATGTCTGTTACATCATTACAGTTTAATTTTATTTAACTATAATGCTGATAAAGAAAATGATGTAAATTGGTGTAATGAATCTCATTTTATAGTAAAATAAATGAAGACTGCATGAAACAATATCTGACACATCTTTGTGTAATTGATCCAATGTAAACAAACAAATGTAACCAATTCGATGAACACTTATATTAAATGCTAGACAATTCTGTGCTTTTTCACTACTTTTTATTAGCAAATCACTTTGCAACAGTAACATACAAACAGGATTAAAAAAAACAAAGGACTATAAACAGTAATAAAAACTATATTCAGTTAGAATGCATTGTCTTGACCCAGTGTAGCAGTAGCTGCTTTCAAAGCTTGCTGATTTAGAATAAAAGCCAACATATTTGGTGCATTCTGAGCTCTGGATGGTTAGGATGGCACAAAGAAACTACTTGGTGTTGGCATACAAAAATGCAGCTAGTCTTGTCAACAGCTCTGCAGAATGCTAAGGCTCTCTCAGGCCCATGGGTATCAAAGTTCACTGTATCAGTGGAGCACCCACTGGACTGTAAACACCTTTGATATGGGCAAGGCCAGGCCGGTCACTATCAAAACCTGTAGGAAAAGACACATAGGCTGACATAATACCTGGATTTCTGAGTAAAAGGACCTGATATAGTAAAAGCAGAGACATTACTAAAA